TAAAAGCATAGTGAAAAAACTGTTTAAAAAAGAATCTTTCTAGACTAATTTTTTACAGTAAAGGTTAAAAAAGTTTAGTTTCATTAATACAAGGTCCTTGAAAAATGTTTTTTTAATTTTAAGAAAATGCTTTCTGTTTAAAATCTTTTGAGGTTAATAATGAAGTGATTTAAATTATTTTAAAAATTCATTATGAAATTTAGTCTTCGATGGTGCTATAGTGTTTGTTTAATGTGTTGTAAAAGCCTTTTTTATTGATTTGAGAGCGGTTTTATTTTGCTGCATATTAATTTTGTTAAAAGTGACGACTATTATGGTTTAAAAATATTTAATTGCAAGATCCTTTTTCGCACACTTTTCTATTTTTGTTATTGAAATTTCGATCCATTAAAAGCAGTACATAATATTCATTTTTAAAGATATTAATAAACAACAAATAACTTAGAATGCACGATAATTTTAATAACTGGTTAATTATAAACCAACGTACAGTTTTTAAAATACATTAACAACATACAAATATATAGAAACAAATAATTTTTAGTTATTGGTAAATGTTAACTGTGAAATCTAACATTTGCTTCGCAAATCTTTCGACTAAAAGGCTACTACTACTCAGCATTTTATTTCTCGTACTATGTAGATTTCATCATACTGGACCTTTCTAAGAAAATGAATTTGTATTTCCGTCATACGCGTGAAATCATAAATTTAGAAAAGTTCACTGGTGCCTACGTTGTACAAAAATTTCGTATTTAAGGAAAATGTGTTGTTGGAATTTCTTCAAGCATGAGAAATCTCACACTTAAATTAATTCCTTTCTATTTTAGGCTACACATCCAAAAAATCGCAAATTTAAGAAACGACTTTATATTATACATATGAAAAATCACAAAACTACGAATTTTTTTCTGCATTCTTATCGTACAAGCTCGTGCAATGCATACACTTTCATTTTTGGTTACGACTATAACGGAAAAAATATCAATCCGTGTTAAGCTACCCCAGGCCCTGCTCCACCCGTTTTGCCTCCCTAGGCAATCAGCGCATTTGGCGCCACATATTAATTAAACGTATTAATAATTCAAGGCGAAGTATACTGTTTAGTTACGAATTGTAAGAACAATTTAATTAGCACCATCCGAAATTCGGCGCCTTGAGCGGCTACCTGTGCCGTGTATGCTTGGAGTTGCTTTTGTAAACTGCTAACACTTTTTGTAAAGGAAAAATTGCTACAAAATTACTGTTAGAATGCAAGAAAAATGTTGATAGACCTGGATCTTCGTGAGGGCTAGATGAGATTCCGCGGTATTGCCAGGGTGGGCAAGCATATGCCAGAACATCATTCATTCAAAATTAAAGCAACGGGCAAATCAAATGCAGTGGATAAAACTAAAGACGAACCTTTTTCAGTCGCGACCCCTTTTTATCACTGAGATTCATTCGCGTCCCCCAGGACCCCATAATATTTACGAAACTTTTCTGGGACCCCATAAGCATTGCGCAAATCCGACACATGCGTGTGTGAAACTGTCAATTTTTCCACCTCTACTGTAATATACTATTGCAGTTTTAGGTCATTAAATTTAATTTCTAATTTTAAGACATAGAAAAATGTGAAATTTTAATAAGAACAACAAATGACGCTCACGTGCAAAGCAAGTAAAATGAACGTTTCTATTATAAAATGAATGCGTTGAAACGTTTTCTTTTTTCCTTTGTCTGTATTCTCTTATCTTTATCTATTTTCAGATAGATTGTGTAAAAATATTTGGTAATGGTAAAATTATTATAATAAGTTAAAAAATAAATATCAAAACTGCTAAATGCTTTGGCTAGCCCCCACTGCAGGTCCTGCGACCCACAGTTTAAGAAACTGTATGGGATGTAAGCTGTATGGGAACAACGTTTTCGATCACGTTGTAAAAAACCCATCATTCATCGGAACATGAGTCATAGGAAGATAAAAACTGCAGTAATACATACAGTAAACACCACAGGAACGCGCGCTGAGTGCGACATAATGCATTTAAAAAAAAAGCCTTAAAAAAGATACTGCTGAATGCACATGCATTATTTTTTTAAAGTTACGTAGAAATTTTGAATTTGCTGCATAAAGCCTTTCATTACTTTCGTCGAAAGCAAATGAGAATAATCATTTATTTTTCATTTCATTTTATTTTTTAAAAGTTATCGTGGGCTTTTCATTCGATAAGAGTAAATTACCAAATTTAGAAACAGGATGGCCTGACTGGCATCGGGAAATTTGCATTGAAAATTTTGAATGAAAAAGGGGTACATTTCAGGAACTATATAGTACTTGTAATAAAATGCGCTCGCTTTCTTTGCAAGAAAAATAATGTAGGAAATCTAACATTTGGTTTTCTGCAGGATTTTCAGGGAAAAAATTATCTCATGTGAAGATTATGATCACACTGATTAAATGCCATAAAATAATTAATACTTTCAACGTTTTTAGTATATTTCAATTTTCTAGATCAGATGTATTTCGAAATTGCATCTTATTGAGAAAATCAAAATTTCCTAAAATTTTTAAAAATTACGAAAAGACTGGACTAGATTAGACTAGTAAGTTATGAGAAAAGCGCATAGGTGCTGTCTTTTTAGCTTCGGCATCTTCCGCAGCTGGGTCGTCACGACCACTGAATTCTAGGAGTTTGACCTTGGTTCGATCTTAGGCGAATGAGCTGATTGTGTGCTTAATTTTTGTGGTTTTTTCCATATGTAACGCAAATAAGAAGCAGTTTTTTTTTAATCCCTTTGCATTTCCCGTACGCATATTATCCTCGAGTGCTTTGCTATATTTAGGACTGGACTGGATTAGATTATTAAGTTATGAGCAAAGCTCATATGTGCTGTCTCTCTAGCTTCGGCATCATCCGCAGTTGGATGGTGATAACCATTAAGCTGGGAGTTTGACCTTGCTTCGATCCCAGGCGTCAGTTTTCGTGGTTTTCTTCATATGTAACGTAGATTAAGAGGCAGTTTCTCTCAATTCCTCTTCATTTTCCTCTACGCATATAATCCTCGTGCGCTTTGCCATATTTAAATGCCCTAATCCAGTGGTTCCAAACTCGCGGCTCCCGAAAATATTTTACGCAGCCCACAAAATACATTTCAATAACGTATTTGTTGCCAAATAAAGTGGTTGTACATTTGGAGAAACAAAGCTATAGACTGAGCTTATGTGCTCGATTACAAATAAAGGTTAAAAAAAAAAAAAAAAAAAAAAAAAAAAAAAAGACATTGAATCGGGTGGGGCTTTATGTTTTGTCACTCTATGCTTGTATGCCAAGCCACATGATTGAGGTAAGGTAGGAGAATTTCTTACGTTGGTACAGTCAGTAAATTTAGTTTGCAAGCCAACAACCGGTGGCGCTTTAGTGTCCTGAAATTTCCGCTTTTCCTTTTAAAAGTAAGTTAGTGCTTAATTCAAATTCAGCTTAAAAAAAAAAAAAAAAAATATTTTTTTTAGCTGAATTTGAAAAAAAAAAAATGAATTATTGGATTTGCGTTATAATTATTATTGTTACCTACAAAAAAACCTATGTTTTGATGTAACCTACTATGTTTTGATAAATATTCAATACATGACATTTATAATTTATCTTACTTTTTTTTATTAAAAGTATTTTAAAATTCTGTTAAAAAATGTTCTGGCCCATCAGCTGCTTTTCAGATCGTGCATTCTGTCCCTATGTTATTTGGGTTTGAGACCACTGTTTTAGTCTATCTATCTGCACCCTAGTCTTGACCACGCATCCCAGCTGGAGGAAGAGAAATATCTCGAATATTATGATAGTGTTCTTTCTATTTACTGCATTTATATTTTAATATATGTTTTTGCTAGATGCTCTGAAATTAAGTTCTGATAATCCATTGGTATTTATGTTTCATTTGCTATTCGAGTTTTATTTCTATTTTTATTTATTCATTTATTTGCATGTAATTTTGGTCATATTTTTATGCCACCAAGTACCTCAAATATAAGAAAATTCGAAACTTAAATACATCTCGATCTGAGTTTTTGTTGTTATTAGGGAGATCACTTTTAAGTTGGTGGGAATGAAGATTTCCAATTTTCTTTTTAACTTTGAAATATTCGAAAAGGAATAAGGTATGCACATTAACCACAAATTTTCACAAAATTATTTTAAAACTCCGAAAAGAATTATAGCATTACTGCGTGTGTGCTTTTGTGGTGTAAGTGGTTATTATATTCAGCTAGCAATCCAAAGATACAAGATTCAAATCCCAGTTTTTTTTTTTTTTTTTTTTTTTCCTTTTTTGTTAAGACTTAATAGTCTGTACAACTTACTAAACTCATCATGAAAGCATCATTAATTTATATATTAATTATATATTATTTATATATTAATTTATATAAATTAATGAATCATATGTCAAACTTGAGAACAGATAACATTAAAATAAAGTGATATTTCTGACTAATGGCATTACTTATGTTTTTTGTGGGTAAAACTTTTTTTACCTACAAACGAGATTTTTCAATTTTATGTTGCTGCAAAAGCTCCTACGAGGTTCTGGATCCTGATAAAAAAAAAAAAAAAAAATGGTTAAAAGGTTTCATACCAGTAAACTAAAATATACTAGCTTTATTGAAATGAATTTAGTTATGACATTAATGTAACGAATATGAATGTAAAATAAACGGTCATCAACGATTTCATCGCTGCAGAGAAATCTGAAATGGATTACTGTTTATTTATTTATTTAAAAAATTTTTTATTCTATAAGTTTATATGCAACATTATGTTACTTACGGCGTCTTTATGAACATATACTACATCGACTTTCAGCGCTCTTAATATAAGTACCCTTAAATAAACACTATGCTACTAATTACCTGTCTAATTACACTGTTTTTGTAAATTATCCAATTAGGACTGACGTTAAAAGTCAGATGCTAAATTCTTATTTAAGCAAGAAGCAACATTTTTTTTTTTTTTTTTCCTTACCTTTGTCGCTAAGTTCCTGCCACATTAACTTGTTATTCTCTAAGCATTTGAGCCAAGGTCTGGGCACGGACCCTCCGGCTGGAAGGTGACGCGGTGACTGTCCAGGGCTTCCGAAGAGTCTTGGCGAAGCTCGGCTGTGTGACGGACTGTTGGCTGGGGATGAAGTCTGTAAACACCTCGTCGGAGCTGTGAAAAGGGGAAAACTGTAATGTAACAAAATAAGGAAACACATTTTGTCGAGAGGAGAAAAAAAAAGTATCCGAATCGAGGAACTCCGAAATCGAGGAAGTGTACCGAAAAATCCTCTCCCTTATCCACCGGAGAAAAATGTTATTTTTTAAACATTCCAAAAACAACATTCAATGCGAGGCAAAACGGTGTACAGCAAGTGGGTGGCGAAATTTAGGGCAGCGAAATGTTTATCAAACGTATTGTATTTCTATAAAAAAGAGCGGACAGTTTTATTAATTTACACGTGGGCGATCGACGGTCAAGGATCGGCACTAAATGAACCGCTTAAATGCTATAACTTTCTGATTTCATTATGCACTTCTTACTCTACAGGAACATTACTAAAACTGGAGAGCATTTTAAAACTGCAGATTTTTAACATTATGTTAACAATTTCCAAATAATTATTTTTTCAGAATTATTAATTTAAATAGCTGTAATATTATTGTTATTAAAATCTTAACTGGTAGATTCATTTTGTTTCATTTGTTTAAAATGAACAATGGTACTTTTCTGCTACCGATACCGAAAGTAAGGCAATGCATTTTAGAATCGAAAAATTCAAAAAGTGCCATTAGAAGAGATTAGCTGTATATTTTTTTTAATCGGCTCAGTAAAATTTAAGTAAGTTCGCCTATAATTTTGACTTCATGACTATTAATATTGCTTAAAGAGTTATTTCTTATTTTGAAATCTTATTCGTAAACTTATACACAGTTATATTCTCCGTCTATTTTAACCTTTCGTGAAATAGTACGAAATGTATTTTTTAATAAAAACGAAAAATCTGCTTTATAAATTTAAAGAATCGATAACGGCATACACTTATTAGATATATTTTATTATTTCTGTTTAATTACTATTTATTGGAAAGGATATTTAAACCTTTCATACAATACTTTATTAAAATAACACATAACGTTTGATTGACAAACGTAGCACTTGAACTGAACTCATGGTTTGCGTTGTACGCTTAGTTTAACTATATTTACCCTTGATTCGTAATGAAGAATTTGTACATTAATACCATACCTTTCAATGAAATTCAATAAATCTTTAACAAGAATGTAAAGTGAAAGAAGGAGAGGAAAGGAAGAGAGCGATGAAGATGGGAGTGGAAAAAAGTTTCTGAAATATTTTGCATTATAAAACATTATATTTCTCTTCAAATAAATAAATGAAACGATGAGAATGTTAATGAGCTATATGAATAACCAGAATACTGAATTAATGAAAATTACGTAATATTCTTTATTATATGCAGATATAATTTTTGAAATAGTTTATAAATTTTAAACACACTAAAAATGTTAGTTGATCAGATTGTTAAGAGATGGCAGCACCACACAGAGAAACGAGGTCTAGATCGTTCAAAAATTTTACAAGCAAAGGCGAATAGTGAGATCGCGTTAATCGCAGATGGATTTGATTTTCGAAAGCTTGTTAAAAAAGTTCATATGGAACGAATTTCCCACATCACAAATCTGCAATTGTTTACAGGCAGACGTGTTTTACTTTTTGATTACAGGAGCCCTTTAGAAAGAATTTTCTAACGAATCCCTTTAAAAGCGTATTATCTAAACAAAATTGAAAACCTTTAGTACCATCACTACAAAGTACTACTACCACCACCACTCTTAAACAAACGAATAAATTTACGAGTGTTAGAGAAAAAAACTCAATCAAGATGTTGGGGGTTTTAATTTTTGAATTTAATAGTTAAAAATAGTACTTTGCTTCTTTGCGTACCGCATTTTTCTCTTGCATACCACCGGTTGAGAAGCCCTGCCTTAGATCTATTCTATGTCCTTACAAGTTAATTATGTTTAAGAGTAACATTACAGGGTAGATAAAGGATATAGATAATTATGGGATGTAAAGTAATAAAACATTTGAACAGTTGCTTACTGTTCATAAAATTAAATAATTTTTTTAAAATTTACCATGATATCTCAATTTATTCTCAACCTGGGCAAAGCTTAGCTATGAAAAAAAGTTCTTTCGAAGCTCAATAAATGAAACTAATCTGTGTTACAATTAACGTTGCGCCAATCGGGCTCTTTTTCTAGTCATATTCGTTTTTAATAAGCTCTCCTGTCTTTGTTCTTGTTTTGAATTAAGAAAATACCAAATCTCCTTTATTTTGAAATTAAAGATCTCAAGCTCTCATTTCTTCAGTCAGCGTCTAATTGAAGATAATTCTACAGAAATAACACCGATTATTGAAATATATTTATTGTTCTCGCAACATTTCATGTCGATATTTAACTTAGGCGGTGACATTCGAGAGAGGGGAGAAAATGTGTAAATATTTTCAATATTTGAACAGTTTAAAGATTAAGCTTTAACTCTCGATATGATGAGGAATTTTTTAGATTGCAAATTCACATACATTTTAAAAAATTAGATAACGGAGAGTCTAAAAAAATTGTTGAAAATTAAATTATTTCTTTCTTAAGGAATTACTTTGTAGAGTCATTAGGTTATTTTGAAGCATGAAACATGAAAAATGTTCAATGCCCTCGCTTGGACTCGAACCCTGGACCTCTTGAATACGCGCCTAGCGTGCTGACCGTTACAGCACGAAGGCATGCCAAAAGGAGGGAGAATTTAGAACTTATTTAGAACAGTTTGATAAAAATTCTACGTTTTTATGGATAACCTTTTCGTTGAAGTAGCATTAATTCAAAAAAACTTACAAAATCCAAAATATCAAGTAGCAAATGGTATGTGATTTTAAAAAGTGCTGATCATAAATGTATAATTATTTAAAAAGAAATTTCGCATGCAATTTTAGTTCCTGTGGGAGAACCGTTAGTGTCATGTCAACTAAACCGAGAAATGAACGAAATAGGTGTTCGGTTGAATTCATAAAAAAGGAATTATTTATGTATTTAAATTTGAAAGAAAATTGTCCGGAATTGGCTAAAAAAATAAAAAGCGATGTACATTTTATCAAATTTGCCAAAAATCAGAACAAATATAATTTTATTTTATCAAATCTGCCAAAAATCAGAACAAGCATAATTTTATTTTATCAAATTTGCCAAAAATCAGAACAAGCATAATTTTATTTTATCAAATCTGCGAAAAATCAGAACAAACATATAATTTAAAAAAATTAAAAGTTTAGCTTTAAAATTTCAAATATTTTAAATGGGTTTTGTACATTTTTGAATTAACAATTTTTTAACTAATGAAGATCCTAACAATGCATCTTTTGTGTTTAATGAGTCAATATATTATTACTTAAATTACCGAACTAAAATTTTTTCGTTTGTTTTCAAAGCTTGAAAAAAATTGCACGTTTACATGAACATTTTTACATTCTAAATACAATTTACATTTAATACAATTGCATTTAATACAATTTACATTTTAAATTTAAGTCTAATTTACATTCTAAAATTATATTTCAACAATTTACAATAGTAATAATAAAAAAGGAATTAATATAAATATATTTTGTAGCATCCTTTATTGCGACTCAACAGTTGGCACATCGTTCCGGACAGCATCATTAAGGTCTTTACAACAAATGTTCCTTCAAGTTAACCATTACAGGGAATTCAATTCAAATGTATAGTCGTTCATTATTTCTTATTTGGAATTTTTATTACACATTACAAAAGACAATTATGCATAATTTTACAGTTTTGCAATTATAGTGTACTACAGGCCTACATTACGATATTACATAAAAATATGTTTGTTTGTGTGTGATTATGGCAAAGCCTCGAGGGCTATCTCGCCTTAAGGGAGGGATGCCTTCGTGGAGGACTTTCTAAGGAAAACTGGCTCGTATACACGTTACACATGGGGAAAACCACGAAAACGCCCATGCAGCCAGCCCGTTCGCGGGATTTGAACCACGGACCGAACTACCAGTGTTCAGCGACATTACCGCTCGGCCGCTGGTGGGACATCATAAAAATATGTAGAAACGTTTAATGAGACACTTATGTTTGCATTTTTGTGCACTTTTCTAATTTTAGGTTCAACTGTTAATAACTGCACGGAGATTCTCTGTACATTGTTCTGGTACCGATATAAACCGAGAATCTTGCTTTACGGGGATGTGTAGTTGCGAAAGAAAGGAAAATCAAATTATCACACAATATTTTGAATTCATCTTACATGCAGCAGAGAACTCCCCTTTCCTTTGGTTTTGAAACGAGATTTTTAATTCGCTATGAGAGTCAAACCTATGAGCAAATCGTGAAATGCGATTTTTTAGTTCACTGTGAGATGTCAAATCTATAAGGATATCGTATTTGAGTTTCATATGGATAGTTTTTAGTTCACGCTGAACTCCCTCAGTCCTCGAATCAAATCCCTCAAGGACCTTTTCTTCAGCTGTCGGAAAATGAAATTCAAACGAGTCTTTCAAAGCTTCGAGATGCGCCTGAATATTTTTTTCTGTATTTTTTCTTGAATCTTGATGATATTTTCTTCCAGAAAGGTTTATGTAAGACGGATGCAGTCACTACCTTCTTTTTTCAAGCACTCTCAATATGTAAGCTTCGCCTAAAAGAAGACATTGTGGCATTCGCATGGTATTTCCAACTATTATACATCAGTTTCCTGTACATCAATACCATAAATTTCGATCAATATGCAATTTTACCCACCTAGTCTTCACCGTTTAGAATTTCCATCAAAACTACGTCAATTAAAACCATCAAGGTCAATCAAAAATTATACTACTTTCATACGCAGTTTCACCGAGTATATCAATTTTCCTAAGGACAACTACCTTACTTTAATGTACAGCAGGAGAGACTCAGATGGCTCCTTGATTATGCATTTCAGTCTACTAAGCCTGTTTTTAAGACATTTTATACAGTTTGTTATTTTCTTCATTAATAAATATTTACTAGCTACTCCATTTAACCTCACAAAGAAATAAAATGCACCGGAAATTTTCGGACGTATCGGCTAAGAAGTCACAACATTATCGCCATGAACAATCACAGTGAAGTGACTCCAAATAAATCGTCTACCCATCTGTATTTATATGAAGCCAAATTTTAAGATGCTTCCAGCGAATTCCAGGAATCCTCTAAAGATCGAGAATGAGCGAGAAACTTTTCAAACGACAGTTCCAAAGAATGGGCCAAGCATCGTCTCCTAGGAGAGATACAAAATTGAACTCGACAGAATTCTTGTTTTTATTCTGCTTTTTGTTACTTATTATTTAATTTTATTCAGTTTTTGTTTTATTTTCCTAGAGCGACAAAAGAGTGCCTGGAAAAAGCAGGCGGAATGCCTAAATCTCCGTGAAGCACAGATAGAAGACCGCTAAACTAAAGTAACTAAAGAGAAGACAAGTAAGCTTATTTATTGTATAAGGATTTACTACTTGAAAAAATATGTATACAATATTATATATTAAAGATTGGATGAATGATTTTTACCTGTGCTGTCTTCAGCGATTACGCCATCTTTGTTCGCCTCCACGTGATGCAGGATCCTGTCTAAAACGTCACCGCATACCTCCAGGCTCGGTGACACAATGAAATCAATAAAACCTGCAGAAAATAAAATACGAAATACTTCAACTGAAAAAGGGCACAGAAATGGATGACAGAATAATAATAAAAAAAATAAGAGAAACAATTACAGCTAGAAGCTTTTAGCAGTCTAATATTACAAATATAAAGTTCCAAAGAGGTTAAATGATATTTCAAACTTAAAATTGCAACATTTTTGGACATGGTGATTCTGATTTAAATGCTTAAACATTAAAAACAATACTTTAAGAGAAGCAGTTACGATTAGTCTTCTGTTTTATATATTAATTCTCCAGGAATTCAAGATATAGAGAATAAAATCATATATGTAAAAGGAGGTATTAAAATTAGCAGTACCAAGTGAAATGTGCTCGCCATGCTATTCCTTTACAAAAAATTATCATCAGGTGGAGATTTATATGTTTATTTAATAAAGAAAAGATTTAATTATTCAACACGTACTGTGCATTTGTTTCACAGGATCGCCTGCACATTAGCGATCGCTTGCAACAAGTATTTCCCTAATAAGTACCTATTATTTTGCCGGGACACCATATCTGCTTACTGAAATCAATAAACGCCTCGGAAGAGTTTCTTTTTCGCGGTGTTTTTAGTCAGTTGTAAATGAACTTATTAGAATTGATTTAGTTACATGATTTTTCAGAGCATATCACACATATATTGCATAATTATATAAATTTAAATCTTAAAAATTCTTGTTTGTCTAAATTAACGCTTTTATAACCCATCTATTATTACTCTGAAATGGTGTTCTTTAAGCAACAAATACATTTTTCAACATGCAATCACGAAATTGCTGAAATTGTTTCACAAGCATGAAAGCCTTCCAAACGTCAGGTACAGCTGTCAGAAAGCCAACAAATTCGTCGGTAAATAATACAAATAGAGAGTAAAACCTCACAGACAGAGAATTTAAAACTGAATTTCAATTACTAAACCACTGATTAAATCTCTCAAGGAGAAAACAAAGCATTGCAACATTCATGTAAATGGACCGTTGATCAACGGTAGAAATTATCTCCTTTACTCAAAGCAATCTTTCTAGTATTTCGAACTCGTGACCAAATGTTTACATGTGGCGAACACTCAGCCATAGTTTTTAGCTGAATATTCGTTTGCTAACAGTGAAGTATAGCAGAGGGTCAGTAATGTTGTTTGGGGCAATCATATCATTATATTTTGTCAGTCCCATTATTCCCCAGCAAAGTTATGCTGCTGCCAAAGGACTATTTAGCATTTTGAGCAACTTAGTATATCGTAAGGTACAAATATAGTATTCTTTAGATAAATATTTATCAAGATGAAAGACTCTAATTCATACATTTCATATGTTCCAGTCATAGTTTGTTGAGAATATTGATTAGGTGTCCCATCTTCCATGATCTCAGGAGATCGCTCATTAATATCGAAATATGGCTTCTTTAACTTCCATATCTTAACATTTTAGAGCTCCAGAGTACACTACCTGCTTCTAAATTTGCGTAGGAATTTCAGCATGTTTTGCAGCAAGAAGGTTTAAGATTTCGTTATCCACCATATATTTGTTCATTCCCAGCTCGAGAAACTGCTTGACAGTAAAATACGTTCTTATACCATAATACTAAAGGAATTACCTCTTTTATTATGTACTTCCATATTTTTATCCAACTCCACTACACAAATTTATTTCTGCATAAAAAGTACCCAACTTAAAGAAACTTACCAATTTGAGATTCAGCGACTAGAGTAGAGTTTCTGTCACACAACGGTGAGAAGGGCAAACCGAGATCCTTTTCCTTGTCGCCCTGAAAAATAACAAAGAAGCAAAGAAGTTAGTTATTCAGGTAGAGTTTAATTAGTAAACAAAATAGTAAATAGTGATAGCTAGTACCTACCTGTCTGAAAAACTCTTCCATGAGTCTCTGTGTCCATCGGAAGTGCAAATTCCAGTCTTTCGCAGGGTGGCTGATGTCACAGCAGTGCAGCATTAGTGACAATACTTTAGCCTTATCCATTGCACTGTAAAAGGGTATATCAGAGATTATCAAATAGAGCTTACACTAATGAAATTACAATGTCAGTTGCTTTGATATTCAAAACCTCATTAGGTTTTCTTGTGCATGAGTGACCGTTTTTCATTACATTTATTCTTGTGAAATAATCTACCAGAGTTCGATTTGCTAACTCACTTTTCGGAATACCAGTCTCTTATGCTTGGATATACTTGAATTAGGTTGATTTCAATATTTGATATATTTTATTATATTTTAATAACGTCTGCCTAGAATCCACTTTCTTGTTCGAGGCTTTTAGAAAACCTTCACTTGGAAAGGTCAGTTCTATCCTACCTCGAAATTAGAGACTGTTGAGATTTTTGTGTAACTTAATGATATTTAAAAAATTCTTTGTTTTTCAAGTAATAGCCAAATGTTTCTTCATAAATCCAATCTACCACTAGCAGAGCAACTTATTCTATTGAAATAGATTTATTAATCAGTTCTACTAGTTATGAGTGATTTTGGAAGGTTCTGTTAAAAACATTGAATGAAAGCCCAATTGTATATTTAGTGCGCAAGCTAATGCGACTGAACAAAACTCAGTTTTATAATTCCGTCAGTGACTGCTAAAGTTTTCGCTAAAAATAATAGGGTAATCAAACCAATTCCATCATTCGACAGTTAGCATAAAGCAACAGAAAAAGGAAAAAATTCTTTCGAAATCTATCGCAAAGGTTTCTGTTAAAGATAGCATATTGTAAATCAGATTCTCCCATATAGCAAGCTGATGCGATTGAAGAAAATGTGTCAGTTCGCTCATTTCGTGAATGATCACTGCGGGATCCATTCCGTGAGAAGTCATTGTAGGTCGTGCAAGCTAATGTGATTGACTAGTAATTAAATAAATTCTGCATTCTGCCATACATTATTAAATTTCCATTAGAGCTAATTGCGGGACAAGAGCCATTTCTATTATTCATGTAAATTCCGATTAAAAACAGCTGTCGCTCGGTGAAAGTCTTTAAGAGTTTGTGAAAGATAATGGGCTTAAAAAAGTTGTTTATCCCATGCCTACTTATGAGAAAAGTCATTTTAATCTAAGCAAGATTTAGATTTTCATTATAGGTTTTTAAAATTTATAAAGAACGGAGAATGGAGTTTGACAGTGTCGTTTAAACCGAACGATTTAAAAGCAATAAATATATTTCTTAGTAATTTATAACTTTGTTATATTTTAATAATGCCTTTAACGAAAGGAGTTTGTAATGCATAGAAATATGTTGATTTATTTTGCACAGTGTGATGATTTTTCACGAACACCTGCAACATTATTAATAAAAGATGGCTTTATGCCTAACATTAGGTATTTCAGAATTGGATTTTTTAACTAATAAAAAAACCTAATACATATTTTATAATTAGAATATTTAAACTGAACGGTTCGTGTAGAATGTGAGATTGTATATTTATATTACTCTAGAAACTGTCTGCACACTATTCTGCACTTCTGTAGCTAGAAGGTATGTAGCTAGAGTTAATATTAAAGAAATAAAGCTAGTAGCTACATATTGTTTTGAATAACCTGCACGATTGAACCTCTTTTAGCTTTAGTTGATAAACACAAACGATAGCAGTAATGAAAACAAACATAATGAAAATAATTCTTACTGAGAAAAAGATAATAAAGAATGTAATATTCAATATCAGCAACGTCAATAGCATGATGTCAATAATTTATCTGAGAAACACTTCGTTTTGAATAGTATGACACTTTAAAAATTCTAATCCAGGGGCTTTGTTTATTGAAAATTGATTTGAGAATGATATGCAATAACTTCCAAATGCTGGGAATACGTATCAGAACGGCGTGGCTAGAAGTTAAAAAACATGCATCCCTTATAGAATTGTACATATTATAGAATATTATATATATTATAATGCGATATACAATACCGGTAATTTATTACCTGAAATCTGAATGGCAGAGCAGGGTCTTCATTGTTTTGATCTGCTGAAAGTGGGAGGACATATCAGTGCCCAAGACCATCTCGATTACCAGTCCTCGGAATTCTCTGAAAGAGGTAAAGTTTTCAACTTATTTCTATTTTTCTCGAACAGCCAAGAACTCAACTAATCCTTGTATCTGCAATTGACTGATTTTGAACATTCCTCGAAATAAAAACAAAATATCAAAATTTGGATTATGGGACAGAATGCGCTAGAAAGCTTAAGCATTAATTTTTTTACCCGTACATATTTTAACTTTACTTCATGTACCTTCAATGTTCAGCGAAAGAAACACACACAGAAAACAAACAAATAATAATAATACATAAATAAATACATAAAAAATAAAACTGCTGTAGCATGTATAGCCATAAAATCCACAGTAATATTGGAATTGTTGGATATATTCAAGGCTGTAGAAAATGCTAGCTAGCGTCGGCTCAGTTGAAGACTGTTAAATCTTCGATGTGTTTAAAAGTCGCATTGTCTCACTGACAGTTCGTTGCAACGGATGAACGGGCTAGCTGCATGTTCATTTTATGGCTTTTCCGATGCTGAAAATGCGTTGACAAAAAATCTTCTACAGCGGTTATAGAATGAATTAAAATATCGTATTGGTGTTTCTCGTTTGACTATGAGAAATAACAAAATCGCGTAAAAGGAGGGGGCACAAACTTGAATGCTAATTCTTCTACGCTTGGCTCCACCAATGGCCGAATAGTTAAGATCGCTAAATACTGGTAGTTTAATCTCGGTCTGAGACCAGGCGAATGGGTCCGGCTGCATGTTTTTTTTTTTTTTTTTTGTTTGTTTTTTAGTTTTCTACATGTGTAAAGTGAGCACGAGCCCGTATCCCATAGAACGTCCTCCACGAAGACATTCTATCCTTAAGCAGCTAGCCCTCGTATACTTTGCCGTAATCAAATAACTTAACCTAATCTCCTCTATGTCTGTAAACTTCAGAAATACAGCCATTTGGGAAGATCATTTCGAATAAGCCTCAATTGCATATAACCATCATAAGGCAATACTGTCACCGTAGTAAATTAATAATTACCACGAGGTAAAAAAAAAATGTCCTGAAAATTGTATCTATGAACAGAAAGGATTAAAAAGAATCATAAACACAAAGTTCTTTTTATATTCTTATAAAAGCAGATGTGTTTACGCTTTGTTTGAAGTGTGTTAAACTCTTATTTAAATGACTTGGAGTGAATAAATTAAACATACTTGTGCTCGTTTAGATATAATTTTTCTAGAGATGATACTTCCTATATTTTACTGCTCTTCAAACGTTAACCTTAATGAACAAACCTTTTTATAGGAATTACAAGATTTAATTATTTTTGGAAGCATTAAGTGAGATTATTTCATTGTGAGAAATGAATATGTATTAACAAGGTACTTTTTATTTCTCAGACTTGCTTTTGCTCATTTTATTAACATTATTTTGGTGTTATCGAAGTTGATGTACCGTGATGAAGTTTAATTTACGGAATAACAATAATAATATTTTTTTTTTAGGGAACTGGAAGTAAGACGTTCTGAATGAAGTGAATTAAGACAATCTGAAGAAGCGTTTTGTTATCTTTCGTTTTGATGGAAGGCTCCATAAAATTTTAATCAAATGTATAAAAATACTGCATACTTTAATTCCCAAATGCATATGAATAGCAAAAAGACTCAGATTTTTGCTTAATTCAAAATTTAAAGAATAAAAAATATGCATTTGTATGAAGAGAAGTTAGCAGTTGCAGATATTTTTTTTCTGGTTTTAGAGTAGTTTGTGGAAAGCAAGCATTTCGAAGATTAAACTTGCGGTAAAAACAAATTCCATATTTAGACTAAGTTAAAAATTCTTCGGGTCTAGTTTCCTTTTATTTGAGATTTTTAAAGGTGTTCGATTTATTAAATGTATGTGTTTCATAAAAATATCATGCATTTTTTGTCTACAAAAAATACCTTTCTTAACGAAAAGCAAATATCGCATTATAAAACGCTTTCGTCAAAAAACTTTTCTTTTTCTTTCTCATCTGTGTTTTTTTGTAAAAAAAAAAAAAAAAAAAAAAAAAAAAAAGTTTGAGGAAGACACATTGAATTACAAATGTCACTAAGGATTTATAGTTGCCAGGTTACACGAAACTTTTAAAAACTGGATTTAAGTAAAAATATTGAACGTATCAACAGGGAATAAAACTTTACTTTTTTATTTCTTATTTTTTCTTATTTTTTTTTTTTTTTAAGCCTTCACGAGGATCTTTCACATATAACTCGAAATTAAGGTTTTAGTTTTTGAAACATTTAACTATAAACCTGTTTTTGAGCCTGCGCTCCCCAGCCCAAAATTTCAATAAAAATTAAAATCTTTTATTTTTTCTTTGAGTTCATAAAATGTAATGTTAAATATTAAGTATTCATTAACAAAATTTTACTGCTTTTCTCCGCAACGATTAACTTGCGCAGGAGGAAAGTAGTTGTTGCTATTTGAAAATTTTGAAATGTTTTCACTACTGTAGCCGTACCTGTTAGAGCTCTGTTGTTTTAAACCATAACACATCGAACGCATACCTTTAAATAACAATATCTGCAATTTTATTTCGATTGGTTCAGCAAACACGCCATTTGTGGTTCACATATCGTTGAAGTTTTTTATGCCTATTCTATACATATATACTTTTATGAATATGAAATATATTTTTAATCGTGTTTAATTCAATTTTTTTTAAATCAGAAAATACTGCCTATAATTAAGCCTCTAAAACAATTTTGTTGCAACTTTCAATATACCATAATTATCAGATCGTTTTTCACTCAATCTTTTCCGAAAATCCAACATTAGGCAGTAAATCACAAAGGCATCCGGAAGAATTAGTGAGAAATATGCAAATTATACTTAAATATATCGAATAAAAATTATATTTCTAAGTAAGTTTTCATTCATAATTTTTATACAGGGGCTCCCTGAGTCATAAAAATTATTTCAAGATGTCCACAATAGTTAAAAATATTGGAAAACACTGAAGTAGACGTTGAGGCAGATGAACTAGTTTTAATTAGAATATCATATTTACATGAGTCGCACAGACGGTATAGTGGTTAGAGGAGCCTATTGCGGTACCGAAGGGCTCGGGCGAAGAATCTCTAAGGAGACATGAATGTTTTGTAAATGTATGGCGTCCATGCGGCATGGGGGCACTCTAAATATGCAGTGAGCCGAAAATCCTCTCGTGTGGTTTGGTAAAAGGTTAGAGGGGTAGGAGGGACCCCAACCACCTTCCGCGGTACTCTCTTTCAGAATTGGGGTGGAAAATAGAAGTCCAACCTCTCTCTGGAGTAGGCTCTGCCAACTATTGTTCCGTGTAATATGGACGCGACAACAACAACAACATATTTATATAACTGGCTGTTTTCCGGCGGAGAGGTCCTAAGAGTTAATCATTATGCGAAGCACAATTCGAAGTGACCTTTCATCTTTGCATCTTTCTGAATAATATAGGTAGTTTTTAATATGATCAGTTCTTTTTAAAAATCAACTGTTTTTCCTTTAAAGGTTTCAGGCTTGTATTTTAAATTCTTTGCTGATTGTGGAAAACAAGATACTTCTAATTGCTCGTTTTTCCATACGTGTGATTTGCGAATGGACCTTTTGATGTGAAGGTACCTGCTATGCATGGAGGTTAAAAAGTTTACATCTGTGTGTATTTGTACCATCAGTATGGTAAATCAGGGTCTTCAGCTTGGATCAAAATGCATTTACATTTATGTTGAGATTAAATTCAATTAAAGGCTTTTTTTTTATAATAATATATTTATTCTTACCTATATTCTTCTTTACTTAAATTGTTGAGGATGTTGTGTTCTTCATCACGCAAAAGACGAAATGCCTGGCTCACGTGATAGTTCTCCAACACTGCTCGGTCATTATACAGAAGAGCCGTTTCTGATCTGTTATGAAAAAGAAACCGAAATTCTTTTATACCATTATCATAAAAGGCTAGGTAAAAGAAACGTCTGCTTAATTTGATAAAGAACTAATACATGCTGAAATAGCTCCGGAGAATTTTTATCAAAATTTATGAATCAAACTCATAAGTTAAGCAAACACACAACAGTTCTTTAATGCATAAAAATGAATTTTTTCTTTAATATATCTTAAACCTGAATAATATCAATGTTAATAACGCAATTTGATGACCGCATCAGTTGTTTCCCCCTTCAGTTTTGTTTAATTATGTGTGCCTTTACGACCATTTATATTCAGGACAATGTATATGCGAAGGTGCTGTTCTTGATGAACGAAAAAAAATTAAATAATTTGTTGAAATGCACAGATTCTGTTTTAGTTATGAAACAAATTTAGCAAACTTTTATTTGTTTTTGTTTTTGTTTTTGCATAACATCTTACCAATTATTAGCATGATATATAGACATGAAGAGGATCCTAAATCTGCTCTGGATAAAATGAGATTTATTATCACATGATTTTTTTAGCTGCATGAACGACTGTTTTCTTGAAACATCCTAAATCTATGGACGGCAAAATGAGATATTAAATACTATTTTTAATTACGTATTAAATTGTCATGCAGATATCCTAAATCTGCTGAAGGTAAAATGAAATATTTAATGCTATTTCTAATTACACGACGAACTGTTAAGATGTTATTGCAGATATCCTAAATCTATTCAAGGTAAAATAACCCATGTGTAACTTGTTCAGATTCAAAAACAGCAGGCAGATTGTTTTAATGTTTTAGAGAATTTAGAAGTTCACCGCATCAAGAGATTTGGGTTTTTAGTTAGGCAGTGCATTTTAAGAATATAGTAATTTTGAAATTAGGACTAATTTGTATGTATTTGCATCTGGTTAACAAACAGTGATTATAACATATTGCTTAAGATGGAAAGAGGGGATGCGAAGGATGAAAGAGAAGAAAATGATTTTAACATCATTTCCACTTGCACAAGACATTGTTATAAGTTTGCTTGAGATATCCTAAATCTTTTCAAGGTGAAGATTTTTAATACGCTATTTTTAGCTGCATTACAGTTAGCTACGAAATTGCGTTCTATCGAAGAGCAAAACTTTATGAACCATTCCTCAGCCAATATTTCAAATTCGAGACATTTATACAAATTAGTTATCATTTAATTTGTATAAAAATTAATTAAGTAAATTACTTTTAAGATTTAAAGAAATAATTGTAACACTTTCTATTGAAATCGAACTAATTTTTAAAATAAAATTGTTTCAACGCTTTTGGAAGCTATTGATATCTTTAAAATTTCTTGTCGCTGAAATCAAAGAACATAAACAAAAAAAAAAAAAAAAAAAAACAAAAAAAAAAAAAAAAAAAAAAAAAAAAAAAAAAAAAAAAATTAAATGCTTCCTCTGCAAGTGAATTAAACAGGTGTGTGAATATATATAAAAAATAAATTTAAATAAAATAGAATAATTAAATTAAAAAATATCCTGGTTTAAGAATTTAAACAGCTTTTAAGAAAACAAATAACCCTCCTTTTTCTGATTACAGTAGTTTTATTATTATTTACTAAATATTTTCATATGTTGCACTGAACATCAATATTAAATGTTTAAGTTATTTTCTTCCCCTTTACCAGGTGCCTTCGTGGTGTAACCGGATAGCATGTCTGGCTAACAACTGGAGGGTCTGTTGTTCGAATCTCGACGAGGGCACTGCAGATTTCTCACGTCTCCTGCGTCGATAAACCTAATGGTTATCCTCCTAATAAGTATTTGCTTCATTAGTAGCTACTTAATTATCTTCGCAGTAAACCTATATTAGGTTGGTTTTGTTAGGTTATGGCAAATCACACTAGGGCTATCTACTTAAGAGGAGACTACTTCTCTCTGTCAAACCTTGAAGTGGCCAGCCGAAGTCAGAAATGATTGTGTCAATTACGTAAATTGGCCACACTTATGGGCTTCAGGTGTAAAATATATTCGGTCAGCCACAATTAGTAAGAAAGGACAAAACTATTCCATTCTAAGAATGAGAAAATGTCAGGATGAAATACAGAAAATGCAGCATTGTATTTTGTATTCAGGGAAATTATATGGTTAAAATTCCGTTCTTTTTTAAGAGCATCTGTAGTATGTAAAAACAATCACGATATAACGAATACATGTAAACAGTTATAATTAATTTTAATGTATATATGAAATTTATTTCAATTCCCGAAACAAAAATGTCCACAGATTTTTTCTCTATCAAGACTATCGAAATAAATCAGGAACAAAAGCACCACTTAAATAAAAATTTTAAGACCCACTTCTCTGGATTCTTAGAAAACATTATTTAGTGTTGATATTTTTTATTACCATTTAGAGTATTTGAGGGTAGTGTAAAGTTTAAAAAAATGATGTTGCCATTAATTGAAATACACTGTGAAGATGAAAGAACTGAAGTAATTGATTTATTATGCAAATATTAATCGTTATAACCTAGAAGTATTTACAAGAGCCATTAAATAGTAGATAATTTAATGAAAAGTTTTATTCTACATTTTTATAAATTTATCTTCGCATGTTTTTTTTTTTTCAATATAAATATAAATGAGATAAAAGTCCCACATCTGTTTAAGATAGAATATGATCACATAACAGACTTCTTCTAATCAAGTGTTTATAGTGTTTTAATCATAATGCTTATTATAATACATTGCTTGGAATGCATGTGGTTTCTTTTTACATAAAAGTCCATAAAAAGTTTTTAAGAGCATTGCAAGTATTAGTAAGGAGTTTTCATCTGTCATAGTAGAATATGATAATTACAGTTCATCTTTTAGATTATTAATGCGGATTATCTGATGTTAAACTAAAGAGAAATTTTAATCAATTCTGGTGATATAATGTGAAAAAAAAAGGATATGAAAATAAGTAGTTTATTAGACAGATATTAATTGCGATTGAGCCAGTTTATGATGTTAGCCAGATCCAGAGGCGATAAGCGCGTTATAATATCTAAATATTTATTCCATTTGCCAGAGAAAGGAGAATTCAAAATGACACTCTCAAATGACTGAATGGCAAACTTTCGAATTTTAATATATAAACTAAGCAAAAAATATAGAAACATTTTAATATGGTTCTTAAAATTTGCAGAAGTAAACATTTTATTTTCAGAGTCTAAGGGAATGGGGGCAAATATGAAAGAATTTTGAAAACTCTCCTAATATATGAGAGTTAATTAATATAATTACGATTTAGATTTGCTTCTTAAATAATTAAGATTTTCAACTTATTTCTCAATCTTGACATTGGTTATCACTATAACTATCTAATCCATTTAAAAATGTAATGCATGTCTCTTAATAATATTCGAATATCTTATGATGGACTCGTGTTACTGCAGTAGAACCTGGATTATCCGAGGTAAACGGGATCATAACCACCGCGGATAATCTAAAAATCGGTTAACAGAAAATAAATTTTCATATCATGCCAGTTTTCCTTTGGATAGGATTTGATAAAATTGTTTATTTAAAACCCTAAAAACACGTGCAAACGTACTGCTATTAATATTCCAAAAAATATTTCTGTTAGTAGTTAGATTTTGCTTTTTTTATTATTAGAAGAGTTATTTAATTAATAGAAAGGTTAATTAATAGAAAGAAAGATCAAACAAATAATCTCAAAAAAATTATTTTTAACAAAAATATTCATGATAAAAACTGGAATAAGCAACGGGTAGTAAGAGAGAATCCTTGAAAAGTCTGGCAAGAAAGACGGGCAAAAGGTATCCCACGTAAAAGAAGACAGCTGTTCCATGCTTTCCCCTTCATCACGTAATCAACCACGGACTGCTTTTCTGTTATACCATTCTTTGTTTGGCATTTATTACTAAAAAAAATACGTGTTTTGATGTAGAGATAATATTGTTAGTCTTACATAACCGAATAGGGAACTATTTTACGTATAAAATACCGAATTTTTATTTAAAAAATTAAGCTTACATATACAGAATATTCTTAGCACAATCATCTATTTAGAAATTTTATTTAATTTAATGCTACTTATTTTAGCCTTTTAGTAAAAAAGAGATTACTTACCCTGACATGACGTGGAATGAATTAGTTGTTCCAGTGTGCTCATAATCATGAATAATGGCGGCAAATAAAGTAGCGAATATTTCAATATCTGTCAACCAATTCTAGATTATAAAGAAAATGAAAAAGTAAAATAATAGTTGCTAATATGCAGCTAAATTTCTTGAAAGCAAATACAGAAAACTATTTACAATAAGTAACAATTCATTTATGAAGTTTTATTTTCATAATAAAAGGGTCTTTTCTAGAGACTATTTAGCTATTAAATGCCGAAACGTTCGCCAAGTCTAAAATTTCTCGCTATTTGGCAACTTTGGGAAGGTTTTGTCAAATTCGGTGACAAAAATTATTCAAGTGAATCAATGATATATTTAAACAAATTTGAATTAACCCACATATTTCTCTCTGATCTAAAATTTCAATATATATCTTTTCCCATCAGTTATTCTAACTTACGTTAATAGCAATAATTCATGCAATATATTTAGAATGCAATTGTTTCATAACAAAAAACGAAAAATTAATAACGAGACGGATACAGAGTTACAATCTGATTTTACTTCCGCTTACTTTTCCGACTGGTCTTTAATATAATATGCACTAATCTGAAAATTAGTGCAATGGTTCAATAACGAGATTAGGACCACTGACCTTTAGGGTAATTGCTATACACAAACACAAATTAACTGAAAAAGTGCAATAAATGAACAGTAAAAATATTATGCAGCGACAAAAAATACATAAAAATAAATTAAAAATACGCACAGTTATTTATATAAATTAGAACATTTATACAAATGTATAAACTCTGCAAAAGTAGTCTGATGGCATTCTTTAAATTTTACTATGATTCTTGCTAAAATATTCCAACTACCATTCTTCGTCTTTTGACGAATCACGAGTTTTAACACATGACTGATGCACCATAACAGATATAATACATTTTAGATTCCTTTCCCTCGAGTAACTAGGTTCTTAAGTGAAATAGCTTTATATATTATTTAAGTAGACTTTTGAAAAAGCAATTAAAATGTTAAGCAAGAGTTTCACAAAGTTATTATGGCTAAACAGGCAACATTTTCGTTTAATTCGAAGTAAAGAAAACATCCGAGAGAACTATTTGAAAAATGTTAAGACACTGAATGTTTCAGCCATGTTTGGTCTTCATTATTGACTGTGTTCATTTTATCGGAAAGATCAGAAACTAAAAGGTAAAAGATACTGTTGGGGCGAGATGATGTCACGATGGTTTCGAAGTCAGGTTTCAGATTACGCCTTGTTGAGAATGAGTTTCTTTGAGCTGGGTTTTATATCCATTTTGGTGACGTAAAGGTTTATCTTGCTCATTTCGATTTTAACGTAGCGTTTGAGCATTGATATTTTGTTCCTTCACTCTATCTTACTGATGGTTTTCCCCATGTGTAACGTGTATACGAGCCAGTTTCCCTTAGAAAGTCCTCCACGAAGGCATCCCTTCGTTAAGGCAGATAGTCCTCGAGTGCTTTGCCATACTCTAATAAAAACCAAACTATCTTACTGAAGTCACTGTCGTTTGTTGGATTTTTAAAGGTTTCTCGTTCGAATGTATGCTGTAGTGTAGAGGAATTTCTTTGTCGACACATTCGCTCGCAGAGATAGATGAACCGATGGTCAGACTAATTAATTAATTCTCTAAATACCTCACATTTTCTGAAATTAATATTTTTTTATTATAATTTAATCACATTTTCTAATTCAGTTAATTCTGCGGGAATTAGGAAAGATTGTTAGCTATTAAATAAAATTTCATTCACTTGCATGCTGATATTTAAGATTTTGTTGCATGGTATATACAGGGCCGGATTTAGACTTGATAAGGTCCTAAGATGTTTGAGATATGAGGCCTTTATAAGTCTAGATATTATATGTCAGTGACAAATAGGATTTTCGGATACCTAGAGGATTTTTTTTGGGGGGTGGGTGGGTGCCTAAGCTATAGCTTGCGTAGTTTATACGTAAATCCTGCTCTGGGTGTAAATCTTTTATAACGAAGACCAGAATACTAAATGCAATTTACGAAAGACTTTTTAAAAATATTTTCTTCTTCTGATTTTATACTTCCCAGTCATACCTAATATCAAATCGAATTAATGTTCAAAATAAGCTCTGCGGTAAGAGACAAAAGCAAACCTAATTTTGACGGACTTATTAAAAAAACGTTTTTTTGTGCCACTATGCTCTTTTTTTAATAGCAGTTAAACATTCTAATTAAACATTTTATAGACGAGAAGATATGCCATTATAAATCTCTCGTATGCAGAAAAATTCGATTATTTGTCATTTATTTGAACTGTCAGTACCAAATATTCATCAGCTACTAAGCAAATCTAACGAACACAGCAAATCCACTAGAAAAAAACATTAAGTAAATAAAAAAATAAAAAAAAGATAGAACAACAAGAAAGCATAATTTAAAATAGATCATGTTGTGCTATAGTAGATGACCTATTTATCACTGAATTTAGAATAAATGGTTAAACAATTGTTCTGAAGAATATCGTACTTGTCTGAGAATTAAAATTACAAAAACAAGCTTTCTTATAGACCTTCATTGTAAATTCGGTTGTACAGAACATTGATAACATTAAAGTGCGTATATTATTTAGATATTGTATGCAACCCCCCTATTGACAAGATGGAAAGGGAGCTTGCCTTGAACCTGGATTCGTATCCCGAAGAGGTATTCAAGGTACCTGGATTCGTATCCCGAAGAGGTATACATTTCTTTGTCGGTTAGTATCTATTCAGGATTTTTCAAATAGTTCTCTCGGATGTTTTCTTTACTTCGAATTAAACGAAAATGTTGCCTGTTTAGCCATAATAACTTCGTGAAACTCTTGCTTAACATTTTATTGAGTGTAAAACGCCTTTGCGGTATGGGGACACTTAAAATACTCTCGAGGCGAAAGTTCTATTGAGATGTCAGTGGAAAAGGAGAGATAGACCCTTATATCCATCTCTGAGAATTCTCCTTAAAATTGGGACGGAGATGGGCAAATTTACATTGTCACCTATAAAGTGCCCAAGATTAATGTCATGCATAGTTCTTTGCCTCTTGGCAAAGACAAAATTTGTCATCTGATATTACTGTCAGACAAAAAAGATAAGTTACAACAACAGACAGCATGATTTTTAGTGAGTGCTTATATTCTAACTGCACAGAATGCTGAAATAACTAAGAATTATCTTGTAACGTAAGGCTACGTACTTATACATGCCTTTCAGGTTCTGCAAGAATTAAAAAAGTCCTATACCACATTTTATTTTATCGTTTATTCGAAATTGTCTAGGAAAGTGAGAGAATATTTATCGTGTCAAGGGTACAGACTGTTTTGGGAATATTTTAAATACTATATTTTTACAGTAATTAATACTATGTAAGCGAGGTTCCCAAGACGAATAATTAAAGTTCCACCGTGCTATATGTGGCATTAAAAATGCTAAAAGTGGATCATTGATTCCACCAATGTTATAACGGGGATTAAAAACTGTTGTTATAAAAATATCGAAGTATGATTAAGAAAAATAAGTTTTTACCCTCACAAAAATGCATTTTTAGAAATCTGAAAATTAATTAACGATTCTGCGCCATTTGGACTGACAAAATTTCTGTCAAGGTGACTGATAGTGAGTGAGTGAGGATTTTGCCGCGCCGCGTGTTTGGCCGCTTTGGCACAGGAAGCGACAAATGGATAATCTATATTTTAGACAACTCTGATATCTAAAGTCTGATATGCTTCAAGAGCCTTTGAAGTCCTATAGTTGAACAATGCAACAACTTGGTCCTATAGTTGAACAATGCAAACGTCAATTTTCAGAGTTGAGAGAAAACTCAAATGAATATTGAGATCCAAAATGGTGGGTATCTGGCATTAGCATAAGAGGAAATTAATTCACGATTGATTAAACGCTATGATCATTAAACTTTTTTGACGAATTTTTTCTTGATAAAAAATTTCGAACTCAACAACTATTTGACAAAAAAGAAGTTTGTTTTTTATGTTCGAAATAAATTTTGTTTTCTGGTTAGATAGATTATTTACTAGAGAAGAGCTTCGAGTCTTTGAACTCATTTTTTCACGTTGCAGATAAGCTTTAAGCGTTAATGTACTGCTGAAATATTTTTTACTTAGATTACAATAATGAAATAATAAATATTTTCAGCTTTGATAAAGATTATTTTTTTCGATAGAGATCAGTCACGCACTTTAATCGTTTGAGAGATTAATGATTATACAGAAAGCATTTGTTTTAAAAGAACTTATTTATTAGAAATTAAAAAAATTCTTTTTTGCAATGCAATGCAAATTGGGAAACTGAAGTTGAAATGATTTACTTATTTGCAAAGCATACAAGATATCTACTTAAGGAAAAGAGTGCCTTCGTGGAAGACGCTAGTAGTAAGCGCTAGTACTCGTTCGCTCAAAGGATACCGCTATTAAGTAATAGAACAATAGATGACGTAAAGAATGAATGTCGCCGCCTCCATCTTGTTCACGTGACAACCGGAAGGAACATAGATGGAATGCTGTCATGCATAGTTTCGTTTTTACTTTGGCAACGAGAATATTTTTTCAAAGTTTTTATTTTTTGTGGCAACAACAATATTTTGTTTTTGTACCAACGACTTAAACAACGTTTTTGAAATGACATCATTTTTGTTTGAGCATGTTATTTTCGAAAATGGCGTCTGAAGTATCCCGCTTTTATATGCGTCCACTTAGGTGTACAAATTATTTCTCTGGACCAATCAGATTCTCTGAAAGATGACCTCACCGCGTCTAAACCAATCAAATAAAGAGTTCGAAGCTGAGTTTCAGCTGCTGGTTGTTCCGAAAATTCATTTCTTGCTAAATTCAGGAAGTTGTTACCACGCTTTTCAATTCTGCGTTTGCTTTGTGACACTATTGTTCATGATGAAACATCTTGCTGCAAATTCCTGTTTATCATCAAAAACCTTTCGCAGTGCTTCAAATGATGAAACGTTACTTAAGCTTGATTCTTTGCCAAAGAATACGTTTAATCTCGGAGAGAATATTTTTGTGACTGTATCTTGTTTCTTAGG